GTGAGGTACCCCACTATCCACTACCCTTGCGGGGTAGTTAATGGTAACACAGCAATGACAACACAGCAATGACAGCTGGTGCTCTGATGTGCGGCGAGATCATTAGCACTGCAAGGCCATTCGTAGTGTTGTTTATTTATTTTTTGGATCCAGCCGGAAGGGGAACTATCTAAATTGTTTCCGTCGCGTAGACTTGCCCAGCATACAGTTTCTGATCTTCATCGCAAACCCTGGCCATGTTCATTGGTCCCTTGTGGTGGTGGATATGGACAAGCACTGGTAGATCCTTGCGTGCCAGTGTACATTCTGGATGGCATGTATGGTTCAACGACACCGTACTATTACAAACAAAGGATTGAGTCAACCCTTAACTTTAACCGGTCTAGCGAGAATGCAGTTACATTAGCCCCTCCAATCCATCTTGAGGTATCAAGCCAAGACAATAGTTTCGACTGCGGAGTACGCACACTGCTTAATTTGCGAAAAGTTTTAGTGAATCCGCGCCAATTCCTAGATCAGCCCGTTGAACCAACTGCTCAGAATATATGTAACGAGAGAACACGAATCCACTCATTCTTCAACTTCTGTTGGAATGCAGTGAAGCAAGATCGGACCTCTATGGACAGTGGTATTACATTAGAAGATGTTGCTGTCGAATCAGACGGTTTTAACATCTTGGAGGAAGACAAGAGCAAATCCAGTATTGTGGACCTGAACCAGGATTTCAAATGTACGAGAGAGACCGTCGATGACTATATCAGTTTGGGTGCGGATTCAGAAGCAAGATCTACTACAGGATCAGAATATGAGACAGATATGTTCCTGACTGATGGTAGTATCTCAATAAAGGAGTTGTATAAATACGACAGAGTTAAGAACATCCGGAGAAGCACGAGTTGGTCTGAGCTCAATGAAACGTCCGGGTGGCAGGATAACCTCCGAGTAAAGAACTCGTGGATAAACTTACCCACAGGTTCCAAATCAGCTCTAAAAGAGAGAGGGTGGAGGTGCTATCACGTGTTATCCCTTCTATGACAATAGATGAAAGATCAACATTTTTAGAGGGTTTTCTCCAAGATGACATGGCCGACTCCAAAAACATTCAGCTACTACAGAATTTGATTTCTCGTGTAAATCCTGGAAGTCTCAGAGAAAGCATATCACGAGCAGACAGATACAGAGAAGAATATGGAAGGTATGTTAATTCATTCATTCGGTTGTTAAGAATGTATGTCGTATTAACTTTTTTTGCAATTATGTGTAGACTATTGCGCATCTAATTCTGCATGACTTGTTTTCTGATTGTTTGAAAGAATGCGTATGACGTAGATCAATTTGACTTGTAGCGGTTGAATTGTATTTTGCCTCACATTATCTTCTAGAATTATTCGCGATGGGTGTTGTGTGGATATCTCGGACCGTGATGTAAGATTCGGTCTAATAAAGGCGATACTAATGCCTTAGAATAAATAAACGAGTAGGTAAATTCTATATATCGTGTAAATATCGATATAAATAACCGAAATGAGACGTTTAATAAAGTTAGATTTGCCTCGTGAAAACAGCAATACTCTGAGGGATTGTAGGGCTGAGACATTGCCTATATATAATCCTCTCAGTACTGTTTCCGCCGAAGGGATTTTATTTAGTGTTTCG